TTAAGAAAATAAAAAATGTTTTATGCAATCTTTAGTCAAATTTAGGAGTTAAGGAAATAATGTTTAAATGTTATGTTTGAAGTACACTATTATTCAAATAAGAAACTCAAATATCATTAAAAGGTAATAAAAAAAAATTGGAGACTTGAAATGTGGACATATAGAAGAATGATAAAAATAAGATGGGTGAATGAATGCATCTGCTGGGGGCAAACAGGTCACTTGCTCCGAGCAGATCAAGCCTTCTAACCAATAATCTTATAATTAATTCCCTAAGGAGTGTTGGAAATTTCTATACACTGCCTCATCCAGTCATATGATCAGTTACCTAAGCCAAGGAGTATTATGAATATAAGTATAATTATAATAGTGTAAGTATAGCCCTTGCCCCCTTGAAAAAGTTGCAGCAGAATTCATAGGTAAATGAATAATATTACAAATAAAAAAAGTAGGCAAGGTAAGGGTTCTTACTCAACTTTCCCAATATAAACAGGTGACTAAGGGGGCCATTAGGAAGTCTCATAAATTTCATATACCAGTTTAATTGAAAATTAAGTAATAATAAAACTTAAAACAAGTAATTTTGTTGAATTATGATAAAAATCTCAATTAAAACCTATTTAAGTTTAAAAAACTCTATGATATTAGCTCAAAGTTAAAATTGTGTATGGTACCATCTGTTATCTGAAAAAAATTTACCAAAGCACATTAATATTGGAAATGGGGATTTTTGAAAAGTTTCTAGAAAAGTTGAAAAATAAATGTATTTCATTTATTTTTTGGTAAACTAAAAACTTGTAGGAGTAAAAAATTTCATAACTTGGATAATTTTTTAAGGTGTGACTCTCATCTCCTAAATCCACAGTCCTTTTTCTGAAAATGTTTATAACATTTTTTCCAATACACAAACCTCCCTGCAAAATTTCAGAAATTTTTGAAAAAAGGAATAGGTGTTATTAAGCTTCAAAGTGAATGAAAAAAAATTGCATCCCAACCAAAGAAAAACCAAAAAACTCAACTTTTTCTCAACATTTCAAGCATGATGTTGGTTATTTGTTTGTTATTTACGGCAATGCAACACTTGGGCAAACTGCCTAGAGGAAATGCCTTTTGGAGGATTTTTTAAGGGTAACTATATTAAATTTTGTTTGGTTCAAATAACTGCCTAAAAGTATGGAGAAAAACTGAAAAATCTTTAAAAACAAAAAACTTGATCCCTACAGTGAAATGTGGAGATGAATTAGTGCTATTTGAACCAATATTGATCATCAATATTGTCTATTTGCAGACATATAGACAAATGGTCTATATGTCTGCAAATAGTATTGAAACACTGTAATTTGTTGATAGAATAATGAATCAATATGTGTATAAACAAATTTTAAATAAAAATGTTCAGAAATCAGTAAGAAAATTAAAGTCAGGGTAAGGGTTTGTTTTCCAGCATGACAACAATCCAAAGCACACTTCGAAAATCAGTCAGTTTCTTGATGTGCACTGTATAAAAATGCTTCCTTGGCCTCCACAATTGCCTGACCTCAACCCTATTGAGCATTTATGTGATCACATTGAACAAATAATCAGAACATAATCAATAATAAACAAAACTGAACTTAAAATAATCATCAGGAGTTTTGAATTTAATAGACAAAACTGTTATAAAAATTTGAATGAATCAATGCCTAGTTTTTTAGAAGCTGTTATCAGGGCAAAAAAAGGCCCAACTCATTCTTAAAAGTATAAAATATTTTGTTTTATCATTTTAAAAACAAAATATTTTAAAAATGTAGGCTTCCTGTAGCAAAAACCATACAAAAACTTTCAACTAAATATCTTGTATTGCTTCTGAGATATTAAACTAAAAGAACATTTTTGTAGCACTTTAACCCTTCTTTATCTCAAATATTCCTTCATTTTGGGATAATAGCATTTTCCTGATTAAACTTTACTTTAATGTTCTATCACTTCCCAAAGTTTGGCCAATCTTAACATCTTGTATACACAAACTAGACTCAAAATTCAAAATTGTAGTTCCCAAACATTTCATATTTTTCAAAGAAAACTTTTTTTTATTCTATCATACTCTCTAAATATTTTATTTTTATTTTAAAAAATCTAACGTCAAAATAATTTCAGAATTTCATAGACAAATCTTAAAATTACTTAATTTTAGTCAGAGTACTATGATTATATAGATAAATATATAACCCCTTCTACATGAAATTGTTAATTTTTTTCATATCACTTTATAATTTTTATCTTGATTAATTCACTTCAGCAAAATATCATTTTAAAATATAAGGGATCTGTTATCATAGTCTAATATATATCTGTGAATATTGATTTTAATTCAGTAGATTAAAAAATAAAAATTATTAAAACTAAAAAAAAAAATTTTTTAATTTAAATTATATGTAAACATTGTTGTTTAGTACAATTTTTAAGCATATTGTGATATGAAAAATTTACTAAAAACAATTTGTGTGATATGCTTTTTCTCCTCCTCTTCAAGACCTTACTGATCTTTTCTTTCTCTCTTATACTTTGTTATGTATATTGTGATATCCTGANATCTTGTATACACAAACTAGACTCAAAATTCAAAATTGTAGTTCCCAAACATTTCATATTTTTCAAAGAAAACTTTTTTTTATTCTATCATACTCTCTAAATATTTTATTTTTATTTTAAAAAATCTAACGTCAAAATAATTTCAGAATTTCATAGACAAATCTTAAAATTACTTAATTTTAGTCACAGTACTATGATTATATAGATAAATATATAACCCCTTCTACATGAAATTGTTAATTTTTTTCATATCACTTTATAATTTTTATCTTGATTAATTCACTTCAGCAAAATATCATTTTAAAATATAAGGGATCTGTTATCATAGTCTAATATATATCTGTGAATATTGATTTTAATTCAGTAGATTAAAAAATAAAAATTATTAAAACTAAAAAAAAAAATTTTTTAATTTAAATTATATGTAAACATTGTTGTTTAGTACAATTTTTAAGCATATTGTGATATGAAAAATTTACTAAAAACAATTTGTGTGATATGCTTTTTCTCCTCCTCTTCAAGACCTTACTGATCTTTTCTTTCTCTCTTATACTTTGTTATGTATATTGTGATATCCTGATTTATACAGACACTAAGCACACCTTACACGCTTTCTAGTAATTAAATTGAATTAAAACAAACATTTTCAGCCTGTTTGATAAGCCTTTGTCAGGATTTTAAATAGCAATTCTATTTTGAAATAAAGTATACTTTGTTCCAAAAATATTTATTTCTTTATTAAACAGAATATCTATTTAAAACCCTGACAAAGGCTTATCAATCTGAAAATGTTTGTTTTAATTAAACTTAATTGTTGAAAAAGTGTGTAAAATGTGTTTAGTTTCTTTATATATTATGGAAGTTCCAGCTTCAAATATTATTGATATCCTGTTTATTTAATATCGTATAAATTTGTTTAATGTAATTCTGTATATCATTCTAAAATTAATGACAAATGCTTTTAAAAATATTTAATAAATGAAGAATTATTTCCAGAAAAAAAATGATTATAATTAATACCAAATGATCTGCTATGTTATTTGGATATAATATGGCAGATCGTTTGATATTCAAGATATTGGGTTTGTGGATTTATTCTTTATATATGATTCTAACCTTTTAAAAGTTTAAAATGCGAAAAAAATTTTATTTAATAAACAAAACTTTAAAAATTGTTTATTTAAAAATAATACCGGTTATTTGTTTGTTATTTACGGCAATGCAACACTTGGGCAAACTGCCTAGAGGAAATGCCTTTTGGAGGATTTTTTAAGGGTAACTATATTAAATTTTGTTTGGTTCAAATAACTGCCTAAAAGTATGGAGAAAAACTGAAAAATCTTTAAAAACAAAAAACTTGATCCCTACAGTGAAATGTGGAGATGAATTAGTGCTATTTGAACCAATATTGATCATCAATATTGTCTATTTGCAGACATATAGACAAATGGTCTATATGTCTGCAAATAGTATTGAAACACTGTAATTTGTTGATAGAATAATGAATCAATATGTGTATAAACAAATTTTAAATAAAAATGTTCAGAAATCAGTAAGAAAATTAAAGTCAGGGTAAGGGTTTGTTTTCCAGCATGACAACAATCCAAAGCACACTTCGAAAATCAGTCAGTTTCTTGATGTGCACTGTATAAAAATGCTTCCTTGGCCTCCACAATTGCCTGACCTCAACCCTATTGAGCATTTATGTGATCACATTGAACAAATAATCAGAACATAATCAATAATAAACAAAACTGAACTTAAAATAATCATCAGGAGTTTTGAATTTAATAGACAAAACTGTTATAAAAATTTGAATGAATCAATGCCTAGTTTTTTAGAAGCTGTTATCAGGGCAAAAAAAGGCCCAACTCATTCTTAAAAGTATAAAATATTTTGTTTTATCATTTTAAAAACAAAATATTTTACAAAGATATATCTTTGTAAAATTATATCTTATTAAATTATATATATATAAATGGATGTGTGTGTCCCTATATTTCACTTTTTAGCCAAAACTACACATTGCACATGAATGGTGTTTGTATGTGGTAGTAGCCCCAAGTCTCCATTATGGTGGTTGCATCTCGATAGCTATAAGGGTGCGGGAGATATGGGGTTGAAAGTGGTTGAAAGTGGAAGATTTTCTATTTCAATTTTAAAAATTTTCGAATTCGAATATAAATTCGAATTGGTTCAATTATAAAACAACTAGTAGCCAAAGACGCCCCCTAGTGGGCATTCTTTACAAATTTCCATGAGGCACGGTTCCTTTGACTTTTTTGTTCCTATCAATATGCTCTACAGCTCTGTAAAAGTCCGAATGGTAAGATTTACCCTCCGAATGAAGAGGTGGCGATCCCCCCAAACTGTAGCCCCCTGTGCGAACAATAAAGTCAAAGGAACCANTAAATCAATATTAAATATACCTTTATTTGTTCTTGTAGTTGTTTTTCATGTTGTTCAGCAAGCTGTTGTTGCTGTTGCTGAAAACGCTGTAATAACAACTGCTGCTGTATTTGTTGCTGTTGTTTAAGTTGCATCAATTGTCTTTGGAATTGTAAATGCTGTTCTTGTAAAGATGATGTTATAACTGAATCATTTATAAGATTATTAGGTAATTCTCCAGACTGATCTCTTTCTACTATAGAAGACTGAACATAACCAGGATTTGATATTTCTGTTATAAAATGAAATTTTAAAATTATAAATTGTTAAATAATAAAAAATAGCAAACTATATATAAATTGTGCAATTAAATTTATTTATCAACAGTCAATAATAAACTGAAAAATGTAATATTTACTTTAAAACTTTTAATATGGATAGTTGATTATATTGTATTTTTACTTTATTATACAGTAAAATGCCAACTAATTAAAAGTAATCAGGAATTAATTATTAAAAAATGTATATTAAAATCCATTTAACTGAATCTTGTGTCTGTAGATTTTTATTTATTAATGAAAATAAACATTTAGTTCATTTGCCTCATTTATTGATCTTTATAAATTCAATTATATCTGCTTAATTTATATTTTACAAAAATTATCTGTTATTGTTTATACAATTTCAAAATTAAATATATTCTATAAAAATTGTGATGGCTTATAGTGTAATAGTGTTCTTACCTTTTTAGTGTAATTTGAATATACTATTTAATGAATTCATGTGTAACTTAACTTACTCAACACAAAATTTATAAGTCAATACCATTAAGTGAGACAAAAGTATTCTTAAAGATTCATTTGTTGTATAGAACATAGTGTAAAAACAAAAATCTTAAACAAAACCATCATAAAAAAAAATTATTATTAACTTTATGTAAATGAAAAATCATTCAATTTTTTGACATTGTTTTAAAATGAGTTTAAGTATCTTGATAATAAATATTACAGCATCTAATAATTTTGTTATACAATGGGTGATTGGTTAACAAACATAATCTGTTCCAAGACTTTGTTCACTATCCGAATTGTTCGTTAACCGATTATCGATTTACCATAGGTTTATATGGGAATTTGATTAATTCATTCTGGAGACCCCAAAAAAATAAAAAAACATATACAGTACTTTCTTACTACATTTATTTATATGTAATAATAAAAATACATATATACACAGTCTTGCATTTTTATTAGTCATGTTTTTTCCATTTGTGGGGGTTAAAGAATCTGTCTAACGTCAATTGCTTTTCTTTCTTCTTTAGGATTTTTCAGAAGTAATTAATAGCATTTTAATTGTAGAGATCCCCAAGCCTATTAACATCAACCTGGTTTGGATGCCATTCTAAGACCATTGTTTTGACATCCTCTCTCTTCTTCAAAGGATCTTTAATAACAGATATTGGCATTAATCCTCTTTTTCAGAAGAAAACATATCTTGCAGAGTTTCTTGGTGTTCGTCACTCAAGAATTCTTGATGTTCTTCTGTCATCAGATCCGTTTCAGGTTCCATTATGAGCTCTTCAATGTTCTTTATTTCTCAGATGTAATTTTTGTTACTCTTTTAGCTGCTTGAGTTTTCTTGATTAAACAGTATCTTTCTTAGATAAGACTGAACTATGGCCTACTGTAGACCTGTTCAAGCCATACTGCCCAGCAACATCAGACATATTCTGCCCACTCTCTACCTTTGCTATTATACTCTCGCCTTTCAAAAATAAAAACTGAAGCAAAACTTAATGAGTGCCTGCTGACAGTCTCGCGAATACTATAAAAGAATTGTTTCGGAAAAATAAAAGGCTGGAATTACAAGGGAGAGTTTCAAATTTCGGAGGAATACTATCCAATCAGTATATACTGAGTTGAGCATTGATGTAGATGTCTCCCACACTCCGAAATGTTTCAAATTTTTGCCTGAAAACAAGGAAAGACCAAACGGTATTCATTATTTTATGTCGCTTCTTCTTGTGTTTGTTCTGTGAGGTGTTCATTGTCCAAACATAAAAATCTTTCACAAAAGTGTTTGTTAACCGATCATCCACTGTATATATTACCAGCAAAGTCCAAAAAGCAGCATACATAGGTTTGCCTAGGCAATGTGTAATTTGTTGTAGTCATTTCAGGCTTTATCTGAAATGTTACTGGGCAAAACATAGATCTACTGAATGTTTTTGATGTCTGTAAAAGTAGTTTGAAATGCCATTCTTGTTCCATTTCTCATAATGGACCTATTCTACAATTAAAACATTTTCTCTCTCTTTAAACATTTTGATTATGTTTTTGATATTTTTTGTAAACTTAGATGTCTTATTGTAATTTATTTGTTTACAAAATTCATTACTAATTCATCTTCATTCTTCCATCATGTCTAATCACCAGGAATAAAACAGTTTTCTTCTTAGATATGACCTTTCATTATAGGCTATACCTCTGCAAAATTATGTAAAACATTTTAAAAATTGGACATGACAGAAGAATGATGACGACTTACTTTCTTCTATATTTTATGTTGTGAAACATACCGTCTGTTATTTTAACTGAAATTATATATATATTTTAAAGATTTTTTGATTTATCATTGGCAACTTTTTTAACTATTTTACATAATTTCTCATAGGTATAGCCTCTAATAAAAAGTCATCTCTGCAGAAAAAACTGTTTTATTCCTGATGATTACACATGACGAAAGAATGAAGACGACAACTTAGTTTTTTCTATATTTTATACTGTGATCTATGCCTCTGGTTAGATTATGTCAAAATCACAAGATTTTGACATAATCTAACCAGAGGCATAGCTACAGGAGACTATAAAGTGGCTAAGCCTTCTGCTTAGTCAGCAATATATATACAGAAGATTCCCCTATAAGACTGGTTCCTATAATTACGATTCCTATAAGACGGCGAAAAAATTGTGGCGGTATCTGTACACAACGGTAAAAAAACTCCTATAATTACGTAAAACATCACCGGGCAGCCAAACTACTTTCCCGTCGTCTGTAGTGCCACGCTACGGACGTTTAGGCGGATAAATTGAGTTTAGTTTCGTCTGTACATATAATTATATATAAATTAGGTACTGTACATATAATTATATATTAATTATATATAAATTAGGTACTGTATATATAATTATATATTAACTTAATTTATTGTAACTTTATTATAATTATATATATGCTTTCTGCCACCTGGCAACACGCTACGGAGATTTTAGGCTAGTAAGTTCAGTTTATTATCATCTGTACAGTATGTAAATTAGGTACCGTAAGTCTAATACAGCACTAATTTTATACATTTCTTGTGAAAGAAACACTTCTTATTCAACGGCCATAAAAATTATTTATATTAATGATGTCTCCAAAGTTCAGCGAAGTTTTTGCAGAAAAATAACATCAGAAATCGCGGGCGTGGTTTGCTGAGTTGTTCTGCGATGAAAACAAGCTTGAGCAATGGCGATGTCGAGTCGAATGGTGCACACTTGGTAAGTAATCCTACAATTTTTTGTTTATAGCGTAGTTTATACGGATTATTTCCAAAAAAATATATGTATTTTGGAAGTGTTGACTCGGATTAGTCTAGAATCGATTAATTTTATGGAAGAAAACCTTTCAAACAGCCGTAGTCCGTAAACTTCACACGTGTCGGGCTGTGATTGGCTGCGATTCCTACAAAATCGGATTCATAAAGAACGGAACATATCTACCGTCTTATAGGGGGATCTACTGTATACTGTATATGCTTTCATCATGCAAGGCTACTTAGAGTACTGTTACTTTTTGTTAACACACAGACTGTAGTTAATAGGCCTAGTGCTGGCTGGAAAAGAGAAAAGTGATACTAAAGAGAAAAGTGATACTTTTCTCTTTTCCAGATAGTCAGATCAGTCAATTTTTTCGCTAGCCCCTCATTTATAGGGGATATAAATTATTAGGGGATATAAATCTATCCCCTGATTATTTATTCCTGGGCTACAGAACTGAATCAACTTGCATATTAAGCTTTAAATCAAGCTTGTTTAAAAAAATCTAAATATTTCATTCCGTCAATAAATTCTGTTCTTTTTAGATTGGCTACCAAAGTTATTAAACACAAACACTTTTGTTTTCCCTCTCTTTTGAATATGTTCTTTAATAAGACTAGGCTACACTTCCTTACCTAATGATTTTATTAGTGTTTATAATTCTTAATTTATCTTTATTAGGAAAATATTTTCTGTAATGTAATACACTATCACTAAACCAGCTTACTGGTCAATCTCTTTAATATAAACGAGCAATTATTTATTGTTAAATTTTCAATTGGCTATTAATATGCCTCAAAACCAAACTTATCATAATGACCACAAATGACTTTAAGATGACTGTTTTATCATTTCAATTTTATTGATTCCAATATGCATTTTGGACAAATATATTCATCTCTCTTCAGTTAGACACAATATTATATCTATTGATACATAGACAAAAGAATAAGCATCATCTTAACACTCACAACAACCAATATAATCTATGCCAAGTTTTTACTTACAATATTTAGTTACCCAACTGTATTCACCCAAATGCATATTGGTCAATAAAATTGAAATGATAAAACGGTCACCTTAAAGTCATTTGTGATTGTTATGATAAGTTTGGTTTCAAGGCATATTAATAGCCAATTGAAAATTTAACATATATCCAGGCTGAAATTTTTAATCATATTCTTAATTTATTCAATTTAAAATGTATGTTCTCTATCTCAAATTTGTAATGCCTTGCCCCTGTTCATCATACTTTTCTTGGTAACAACAGAGTCATGCCAGTCATTTATGTAATTCCATTCATGATAAAATTTTTTTAACTAAATTCACATGACTTCTGGTCTAGATTGAAAGTTTGTATATAGTTAATTGGGTCTCCTCCCCCTAAGCTTTCCATTTCAGGTCTCAACTTTCATTTATCTAACTCTGTTCTTGAGATTAAGGAAGGACAGACAGGCAGACAGTGGGAATTTATAGGTCTACAATTTGTTCAAATTTTAGCCCAATAAAAACTGTTAACTTATGCATTGAAGTTATGAATAAAACAAGTTTAAGATATTAAAGTAAGTTATTTCTTTGATGTTTAAATTATTATTTAATTAAATAAAACAAATTAAAGTATGTATATGTCAGAAAATTTAATTTTAGTACTGTACAAATATAGTAGACCAATCTTTCATATTCTTTAA